CATTAAAGAATCCTAATTTTTGGAAGCTTACAGAGGGACAAAAAGGAGAAAAATTCATGAAAGTTTTTTTTAAAAAAGCCATATGTTTAATTCAGTCTACTATGGCAAAAGCAGTGACTTGGTACAAGTGTTCTGTTTACTAGTTTGATAGCCAATTTGGTGGCAAATTTCCTAACACTTCTGAATTCAGGTTCCTTTGTCCATTAAATGAGGATAATGTTGGTTATAATGAGTAATCCAAAACTCCTGACACATCAAAGACACTGAATAAGATAAAATAAATTAGCAAGGCTATGGTAGCTCATGCCCTTAATCCCAGCACTTGGGAGGCAGAGGCAGGGAAGTTTTTGTGAGTTTGAGGCCAGCCTATTCTACAAACTGAGGTTCAGGACAGCTAGGGCAACACAGTGAATCCCTGTCTGGAAAAACTTTTTTTGATGCAGGATTTCTCTGTAGTTTTAGAGCCTGTCCTGGAACTAGCTCTTAGAGACCAGGCTGGCCTCAAACTCACAGACCCGCCTGCCTCTGTCTCCCGGGTGCTGGGATTAAAGGCATGTGCCACCACTGCCCAGCTGGAAAAACTTAAAAAAAAAAAAGATAAATTATAATTGCCAAGCCAACGAATGTATGGGTCACATCTCTGTGTTGTTTATCCCTTAGCTTTTCTTTCTTTGGCTCTTGGGACATCCAAGGTCTCCAGTGGCCCAGACAAACATCATTTGAGGGAATCAGTTTTAGAAGTGTTATCTAGAAAGTGCTTTTGCCTGAGGGTAAGACATCTCTTTCTCTCTCTCTCTCTCTCTCTCTCTCTCTCTCTCACACACACACACACACACACACACACACTTAAAAGACAAGTTCTTGATGTATAGCTTAGACTGGCTTTGAACTCACAGTTCTGTTGAGTGCTGGGATCATAGGCATATTCTACCACATTTGGTTTTGGGTAAGCCATGAGAAGCTTCCTTTTCAAATTCTTTTCTTTTGAGGAAGCAAAAAATAGGGTCTCACTGTATGCATAGCTCGCCTGGAACCTGCTATATAGACTGCCTGCCTCTACCTTCAAAGTGCTGGGATTAAGGGTTCTTGCCACCACACCAACCATAAATTGTAGTTTATAAAATTTTCATAAAATTAGCTTTTAATTGCTTAAAGTGCCCTTTGTCTTTCACTAAGAACACAGGTGGGAACAACACTCGGGAGGCAGAAGCAAGCAGATCTCTGTGAATTCAAGGCCAGCCTGGTCTACAAGAGCTATTTCCAGGACAGGCTCAAAAGCAGAGAAACCCTGTCTCGAAAAAAACAAGAACACGAGGGATATGAGGGTTTTTTTGTTTGTTTTGGTTTTTTTGAGACGGTTTCTTTGTGAAGCCTTGGCTGTCCTAGTACTAACTCTGTAGACCATACTGGCCTTGAACTCACAGAGATATCGCTTCTCTGCCTCCCCCAGTGCTACAACTCACTGCCGGGCTTTGGGATGTGAAATTTGAAGTTAGAAGATGTCTAGTTATTTTTGTTTTGTTTTTGAAGATTTGTTTATTTTTATTTTATGTGTATGAGTGGTTTGCCTACATGCATGTCTGTGCATCATGTATTTGCCTGGTGCTCATGGAGACCAAAAGGGAGCATTTGGGTCCTCTGGAACCAGGTGATTGTGAGCTGTCATGTGGGTACTAGGAACTGAACCAGTGTCATATACAAGAACAATGAGCGCTCTTAACTTCTGAGCTTTATCTTTAACCCCACGCCTAGGTTTGAGCTTGTTTGCTGATACTTGGGCAGATTTGTGACCTAGAAGTAATTAATTAATGCACAGTTTTCAATAACTCAGTTAAAAAATGGGGCTATATACCAGCAACTCTCTTGTTTTTGAGGGAAAATGAAGTGATATTTATTATGGTATTGAATAAATGTTCAGTTCTTCTACTTGTAAATATGGTTGCTGAAGCCTTGTTGAAGGCTCAGTTTATTACTCTCACTTTGTAGACTACTCTGACTCCTTTGCATGCATGTGTGGAACCAGGCCAAAGTCTGGTGTCTTCCTCAGTGCTTCTTTATCTTGTTACTTATTTTACTCGCTAACTTATTTCTTTTGTTTTTTGTTTTTTGTTTTTTGTTTTTTGTTTTTTTTTTTGAGACGGGGTTTCTCTGTAGCTTTGGAGCCTGTCCTGGAACTAGCTCTTGTAGACTGGGCTGGTCTTGAACTCACGGAGATCTGCCTGCCTCTGCTAGTGCTGGGATTAAAGGTGTGCGCCACCACCGCCCGGCTGCTACGTATTTCTTAAAATAGTTTCTCACTGAACCTGGACCCCACTGATTTAGATTCCTAGCCAGCTAGCCAGCAAGCCCACATTCTCAGAGCTGGGATTACAGACACATGCCACCTTTAATCAGTTGTGTGCGTGTATGTGTGTGATTGAATTCATATCATCATCTTTGTGCAGCAAGCACAGATGACTAAGACATCTCCTCAGCGCTACTTCAACCTCAGGTTTTATTTTATTGATCATTATTCTGAGTTCTCTAAAATGCTTTATATTCTTTTTAAAATTATGGAAAAATATGATTCTAAGATCCAGTAACTAGTTCAAAATACATCAAAGTAATTCTGTGTTGCAGAGAGATCCTAAATTTATAGAGTACATTACATTGCATGTAAACAAACTTTTATCAATCAGTTTTGCAGTTCAACTTTTGAGTCTTCTTGTACTGGTTAAGTAAGGTTTCTGCAAAGTGGCACAAGCTGCAACTGAAGGGCCTAACTACATCTCAGTAGTTAAGAAATGTAGAGGAAGCTGGGCGGTGGTGGCACACGCCTTTAATCCCAGCACTCGGGAGGCAGAGGCAGGCCGATCTCTGGGAGTTCGAGGCCAGCCTGGTCTACAAGAGCTAGTTCCGGGACAAGGCACCAAAGCTACAGAGAAACCCTGTCTCGAAAAAAACCAAAAAGAAAGAAAGAAAGAAAAAAAGAAAGAAAGGTAGAGGAGCCTTGTACTTAGGGGAGATGTAAGCAGGAGAATCAAGAGTTCCCATCTTGATGAAACTGCAAATTCAAAGTACCTTCGTTCTGCTTATGTCTGTGGTCTTGGTGGTTATGATGATTTTAGGGGAGTATGTTTATCTCTATAGACTTCTTGTCATATATCCTGTGTATAACATTTTTGTTCAGTTAGACTTCAGTTGGGAATTTTTCTTTTAAATTTATGTATATGAGTGCTTTTTTTGCATGTGTGTATTTAGCCAAGGAGGCCAGAAGAGGGCATTGGATCACCTCAAACCTGAGTTACTGATGGTTATGAACTGTCATGTGGGATCTGGGAAAGGAACCTGTTGTGTCCTTTCTATAAAGAGCCATAACTCCAGCCCTCCCTGTTGTTCTTAAATTACTTTTTTGTATTTTTTTCTTTTGGATATTGAGTTTGGTCTAGAAACTGTATTACCCACATACTAAGAAATAAACTTTGATCTTGAGTACATGTCTATTAGTTGATTGGATTTTTCTTTTCTTTTTTTCTGTTTTTGTTTTTATTTTTTGAGACAAGGTTTCTCTGCGTCCTAGCTGTCCTGGAACTAGCTCTTGTACACCAGACTGGCCTTGAACTAACAGAAATCTACCTTCCTCTGCCTCCCAAGTGCTGGAATTAAAGGTGTATACCGCCACTATCCAGCTTCTTTTGTTATTTTAGGAAAGACCTCATTTATCCTAGGCTATCCTCAAACTGGTGATCCTCCTGCTTGGCTTCTGAGTGTTGGGACCATAGGCAGGCACATCACATCTCATTGTTACTCTGTCCTTGTAGGTTGATTTTTGCCTGTGTTTTACAAATGAGCAAACAAATGTGCAGAATAGTTAAATAACTTGTCTAAATTGACAAATAATGTGTGGCAGAGCAAGTGCAGGGTCTTTCAAACTCTTAAGCCTGGAAAACAAGTATTATTGCTATAGTGGAATGAACTGTATGTTATATTTAAATAGTAATTTTTGTTTTCTTTATTGGGATACTTCTCAGCTGGTCAAGTAACAGTGGGACTGGAGAAAGAACAAAGAAGTCTATAATTTACTGTGATTACTTAGAAACAGTCATCATGCCCCGCCTTTATAAAAAATCTATTATTTTTAGAGTTTTTTTTATTTGTGTCAGTGCTCATGCAGTCCAAAAGACTTCTTTGGTTCCTTGAAGCATTAAAGGCAGTTGAGAATCACTATGCTGTGGGTGCTGAACTCAAGATTTCTGGAAGAACAGTGTGGGTCCCTAATAGCTGAGACATCTCTAGTCACCTCTGTGTTTTTTTTGTGGCTGGAGATTTTGATTTGTTTTAACTTTCATATCTCTTTTCTCCATCTCACTGTGTTAATTTAGATAAATGCATATACTCTTTTTGGTTTTCTTTTTGTTTTGGGTTTTTTCTTTTTTTGAGACAGGGTTTCTCTGTGTAGCTTTGGAACCTGTCCTGGAACTCACTCTACTGGAGACCTCAAACTCAGAGATCTATTTGCCTCTGCCTTCGAAGTGCTGGGATTAAAGGTGTGCGTCACCATGGCTGGCCAATGCATCTACTCTTATATAAAGAAACATGTAGGGCTGGAGAAATGGCTCAGTGGGTAAGAGCACTGGCTGCTCTTCCAGAGGTCCTGAGTTCAATTCCCAGCAACCACATGGTGGCTCACAACCATCTTTACTGAGATCTGGCGCCCTCTTCATGCAGGCAGAATGTTGTATACATAATAAATAAATAAAATCTTTAAAAAAAAAAAGAAACATGTAAATTGATGACGTAGGCCCTTCAGGTGATGGTGGGAAAGAGGATTCGGGTTTCACAGTCAACCTTTTACAGCTTTGGTTGCCTCCTCCAGCCTATCTAAAATTAGCACTTCTGAACTGAACTGTTGGCTTTTTTTTTTTTTTAATAACACAGTACTCCATAATACTGCTTTAAACAGTCTTGCCAGGTGCTTTTATTTACAAGTACAGAAATTAAGTTCTGTTTTTCTTACTCAGAAATTGAGAAGATTCAGAAGGGAGAGTCAAAAAAAGACGATGAGGAGAATTACTTGGATTTGTTTTCTCATAAGAACATGAAACTGAAAGAACGGGTACTGATACCTGTCAAGCAGTATCCAAAGGTAAGTATAAAGGCAGCTCTCCTCTATGAGTTAACATTGTAGGTTGGCGTGATGTTGGCTGTGATGAAGACATGGCATGGTCGTATATCCAGCCACCTGTAAAGCTTCTTTGTACTTGAAGTATCTGTTTCTGGTAACCCATAGCTTAAATACAGTCAAGAAGGAAACACAATTACTTTTAGTAATAAAAAGTAGTTTCCTTTTCATATATTTGTTCAGTTTCTAGGCCCAAAGTAAAATTCTGGATACTTAAAGCATTGCCCTTTGTCACAAGATTGGCTGTAGTTGGTTTTTGCTTTTATTCTTTAGGGGCTAGCCACCCAGTTCCCAAATAAATAAATACATGGAGACTTATTCTGCTTATGAATGTCTGGCCTTAGCTTAGCTTTTCTAGCCAGCCTTTCTTTTTCTTATTCTTTAAAGATTTATTTATTTATTTTGTATGCAACATTTTGCCTCCATGTGTGCCTGCAGACCAGAAGAGGGCACCAGATCTCATTACAGATGGTTGTGAGCCATCAAGTGGTTGCTGGGAATTGAACTGGGGACCTCTGGAAGAGCAGTCACTGCTCTTAACCACTGAGCCATCTCTCCAGCCCTCTCTAACCAGCTTTTCTAACTTAAATTATCCTATTTCTCTCTTACCCGAGCTTTTGCCTCTGAACTTTTTGCCTTTCTTTATTCTTTTCTTTTTATTTATTATGTATACACACACCATATCTCATTACAGATGGTTGTGAGTCACCATGTGGTTGCTGGGGATTGAACTCAGGACCTCTGGAAGAGCAGCTGGTGCTCTTAATCTCTGAACCATCTCTCCAGCCCCTATCTTTCTTTTTTCTGTATATCTTTCTTTATCTTATTTTATGGATATGTTTAGGTCCTCCATATATATTATATGTGTACCACGTGCATGCCTTGTGCTTAAGGAAGCCAGAAGAGGGTAGCAGATTCCCCTGGAACTGGGGCTGCAAGTGACTGTGAATCATCTTCTGCAAGAGCAATAAGTAATGTTAACCATGAGCCATTTCTCTGCCCCCTTAGACCCCTTTTTCTCCCCACTCCCAGACAGGGTTTCTCTGTGAAACAGTCCTGGCTATCCTATATCTCACTCTGTAGACCAGTTTTCTCAAACTCAGAGATCTGCCTGCTGGGATTAAAGGCGTGTGCAACTACTGCCCAGCCTTCCTCCACACTCTTTAAAGGAAATAATTAATATTCCGCTTACCATACATGCTATCAAGGGGCACAACATTTTTTGTTCTGTCTTAGAAGCAAGATATCTGCTTATTTATATACATTGTCTTGAGTCTGATCACTAATAAGAATTTCTGTATGTTACTGGGCAGTGGTGGTGGTCACCTTTAGTCCCAGCACTTGGGAGGTGGAGGCAGGCAGATGCCAGAATATGAGGCCAGCCTGGTCGACAAAATGAGTTGCAGGATAGCCAGGAAGGCTACACAGAGAAACTTCGGAAAACAAACAAACACATTTATGCATGTTAAAATGTTTATGTTACAATATCATGACTTGCAGTAAGTTGTAGAAAGAGTACCAAACTTTATAAGGAAATCCAAATTCAGGTGTAGTACCTGCACTTAACTTAAAGTTATACAACGTAAAGCTAATTACTAATGATACAGTTGCAATGTGTCTTGAGTATAATGAGGATTTATATATTCTTACATATAAAAGATTCTTACTTTATAGGCTTGTTGAAGATCAAATAACATGTATGTTTAAATGTTTATAGAGAGTTATGTGTATTTAGAAGTTTTTTTTTTCCCTGTCAGTTCAATTTTGTGGGGAAGATTCTTGGACCACAAGGAAATACAATCAAAAGACTTCAAGAAGAGACTGGTGCGAAGATCTCTGTCTTGGGAAAGGGTTCAATGAGAGACAAAGCTAAGGTAAGTTCATGTAATGAGGCAAAATAAAACCAAGTGCTCTCTTGTTGCACAGTGTCTGATATGGATGCTTTGTGCAAGCAAACATTTTGGAGTTTGTTTAGGGTTTGACACCATGTCTCACTATGTAGCTTTGGTTGGCCCGCAACTTGCTATGTATGTAGACTAGGTTGGTTTCCAAGATCTGCCTGTTTCTGCCTCCCATGTGCTGGGATTAAAGACATTCACCATTATCTTTAATCATGTGCCCTCCAGCATACAAAATAAGGCTACTGTAAAGTTTTCGTTGCATATAAGCACTCATTTGGTAATGTTGGGAAGAACCTAGATATGCCCTCATTATTTTTTTTAAAGCTGTGCTTACTTTATGTATATGGATATTTTTTCTGTATGTACATCAGCATATCAGAAGAGGGCATCGGATCCTTTAAAAACTAGAGTTATAGACAAATATGAGCCATTCTGTGGTGCTGAGAATTGAATTCAGGACCTCTGGAAGAACAGCCTTTACCTATCACACACACAATTCCACACACACACCTCCCTCCCAGGCTGCATTATGATACAATTAAGTAGCATTGTTAGCTTTGATAAGCTTATCTCTAAAAACTTAAAATGAGAACTGGATACTAAACTTGAAGATTGAACACACAAAAATGTGACCAGTGCACCCTGTTTTCCAGGGATAGGAACTAATGAGACCACTGGTGTTAAGTGCTGGCGAGTTTGTGATTAGATCATTTGATTTCTAGACAACAGGAATGTTCCAAAAAGAAAATGTTCCATTTCATAGCTTCTTACACAGTGAACTTTTAGCTGAGACGAAACTTACTACTACACATAATTCCCTTCTAGGGTCAGCTTGCTTGCTTGCGTTATTTATTTAGCATATAACATTCTGCCTCCATTTATTTATTTGTTTATTTATTATATATACAATATTCTGCCTCCATGTATGCCTGCATGCCAGAAGAGGCCTCCACATCTCATTACAGATGGTTGTGAGCCACCATGTGGTTGCTGGGAATTGAACTCAGGTCCTCTGGAAGAACAGTCAGTGCTCTTAACCACTGAGCCATCTCTCCATCCCTTAGGGTCAGTTTTTTAGACAAGATTTACCTGCTAAAATTTAGAAATTCATTTATTGAGGACCTAACTTCTGTGTGTGTGTGTGTGTTATTTTTTTTTTTATTTTATGTGTATTGGTGTTTTGCCTGCATATATTTCTGTGTAAGTGTGTCAGATCTTGGAATTACAAACAGTTGTGAGCTGCCATAAGGATGCTGGGAATTAACCACTGAGCCATCTCTGCAGCCCAAGGGCCTAACTTTTGGGTAGTGTTTTTCCCTTCTGTCTCTCTAGGATACATAGTACACTATGTTGTTTTAGTTGATGAGATTTGTAAGAGTTTCTACTGTCCTGACTTTGTTCCTCCCTTAAACTCCTAGGCAGTAAAAACACATAAGAAGGTTTGATGGTGATAAAGAGCTTTAATGAATTTAAAAACTAATGCTTGGCCATAAACACATACACTAAATATGAAACAACTATTATCTGAGTAGATTCTAAAATTAAGCTTTAATAGAAATTAAGCTTTAATAGGTTGTTCCTTCAAATTCACTGCATTGAATGCTCCAGTGTTTAAGGGAACAGTTAAACAAGTATAAATTTGTTTTGTTTGTGGTTGGTTTATTTTTGTGTTTGTTTTTTCGAGACAGGGTTTCTCTGTGGCTTTGAAGCCTGTCCTGGAACGAGCTCTGTAGACCAGGCTGGTCTCGAACTCACAGAGATTCGCCTGCCTCTGCCTCCCGAGTGCTGGGATTAAAGGCGTGCGCCACCACCACCCAGCTAACCAAGTATAGTTTTAGCTGGTACTGTAAGTTTCAGTTTCCAGGACTTGATTTACCTTCCTTCTTAGGATTTCAGGGTTTTTTTGTTTGGTTTATTTTTTATTTATTTTTTTTTTCATATTATTTCTGACTATCCCTTTGACCTAGTGTTAAAGGTGTTGCTTTCTTTTAGTCTGTATATGATTTGATATTACTTTGCATTTTTTTATAGGAGGAAGAGCTTCGCAAGGGTGGAGACCCCAAATATGCCCATTTAAATATGGATCTGCATGTCTTCATTGAAGTCTTTGGACCCCCGTGTGAGGCTTATGCTCTTATGGCCCATGCCATGGAAGAAGTCAAGAAATTTCTAGTACCAGTAAGGAAATGCATATTCTTTATTATCTGAGCAAGGAAGAAACAGGATCATACTGTTGAGAAAGCCAGGGTTCCTGACTAGGGTCTGTACTTTGTTTCATTTTTCTGAGGTTTTCCCACTACTTACACCTCATTCTGAAAGCACTGTTTTCCAAAGCCTACTTGTTTCATTAATGTGTACTGTTATCTATTGTCAATATTTTGGGTCCCTGAGGTGTTTACAGCCTGTTTAACAAAGATTTAATAAGGTCTCTATTCAGTTTAGTATTTTGGTACTACTGTGGAACCAGGAGACATGATATTAGGAAAATGACTTAAGGTAAATCTGCAAATTTTTGTGCTAGAATTTTGAATCTAGAGTTGACAACAGGAAGTTTATAGCATTCATTGTTCTAATGTGGCTCACTGAAGGGTTCTTTTGGTGGGGGTTCCCCCCCCCCCAGAGTCCGGTTTAGAAGATACCATGTTACATGCATGACTATTGGATGATATGGAAATTTTCTTTCTTAATTGTTTATTTAAGACAGGGTCTCACTATGTATTTCTGCCTGACCTGAAATTCACTGTGTAGACCAGGCTGGTCCCTAACTTGCAGAAATCTATCTGCCTCTGCCTCCCAAGTACTGGGATTAAAGGCATGTGCCACCATGCCTGGCTTTTCTTGAATAACTTTTTATTTCACTTTTCTTTTTTCTTTGGGGGTGTGTGTGGGAGAGTTGTTGAGACAAGATTTTTTTCTGGGTAACAGTCCTGGAACTCGCTTTGTAGACCAGGCTGGCCTTGAATTCATTGATGTCAGACTTTTTCTGCTTCCCAAGTGCTGGGATTAATGACGTGCGCCGCCACCACCCAGCTAATTTCACTTTTCTAAGATACGGGCTGCTTGTTTACCCCAAATGTTAAGTAGTAGTAAATGAGTAATAAATTGCGCTTGGGTCTAAAGATAGAAAAATGGCTCTTGAGGTTGGGGAGATAAACTCAGTTTATAAAACACTTGTGATCAAGCTTATGAATCTGGGTTGGATCCCCAAGCACCAATATGAGAGCTTGTCATGGTAGAGCATACATCACATTGCTGGGGAGACAGGAAGATCTGTGGAGCTTAGTCATTCTAGCCCAGTGAGTGAATGAGCTCCAGATTCAGTGAGAGACCTTGTCTGAATAAGGTGGAGAAGCAATTGAGAAAATGAACCTCTGATTCCACATTCATGTACACGCAATGGTTCTTGAAAATCTCAATCTTAAGTGGAAAGCTACATTTTAGGGGAAAAGGTGTGGTTAGGCAACATCAGAAAAAGAAGGTCCTCCCTTTTCCTCCCTTTTGTGGCAGCATTAGGAATTTTACTCAGGACTTTGTGTGTACACTAGGCATACCTTCTACCACCTAGTTGTACCCCTCTCCTTTGTGTCTTGTAAGAGTCAGAGTTCCAAATTATACCATGAGACAATGTTGGCAGGATCATCTTGACAGTTAAATAAAAAATTCAAAACTTATTGTATAGCACCCAGTACCTAGAGCCTCATTAATGGTGGCTTCTGTTATTCTAGGAAAAGTAACTGTTTACAAAGAATGTATGTGTGAGAATATTCCAAGCAATAGGTTGTTTTTTTGACTTAAGAGAAAGTTTTTGTATATATAGAGAAAAGAAGTGATCAAGGGAACTACTTTCTGAAGAGCCTCGTCTATCAGTAAGGATCTGTTGTCCACATCTTCCTCAAAGAAGTAACAGTATAATTTGACTTCAGAGAACTAATTACTTGACTTGGGACATCACCTAGGCTTTTAATACTGTTCTTTTTCGGGTGGTATTTTGAGACAGAGACTCAATATATAACTCATGCTGTCCCAGAACTCAAAACTATATGGTTCTCACAGAGATCCACAGTCTCTGCCTCTGAGAGTGCTGGGAGTCAAGGGTGTTCTTAAGATCTAAGGCTCATGTGGACCACATGAGTTTTAGAAGATGTTACACATTCTTTGCTGTCTTTAATTCCCAGGATATGATGGATGATATCTGTCAGGAGCAGTTTCTAGAATTGTCCTACTTGAATGGAGTTCCTGAACCCTCTCGTGGTCGTGGGGTACCAGTGAGAGGACGAGGAGCTGCCCCGCCTCCTCCACCTGTTCCCAGGTAAAAAAAAAAAAAAATAGTTGAAAAGAAAATATAATTGTGACTGCTGGTAGTCTTCTTAGCTCTATCTAGATCAGGAGTCGTCAGGGTTTGTATGGTATATCAAGTATAGAATTCTGGATCTTAGCAGTTTGACCATAGATAAGTGTTACAGTGCTACTGAAACGTTGGAGCTTCTATTTTTGGACAGTACTAGCATTAAAAAAAAATTATGTATTTATTTGTGAGCTTTGGGGATTCATATGTAGGTGTGGAAGTTAGAGGATAAGGAATAGGAGTCCTATCATGTGGGTCTTAGGGATTGAACTCAGGTTGTCAGTCTTAATCAGCTGTGTGCTTACCCACGAAGCCATCTCACTGGCCCCCTAGTTGTTTTTTTCACTATGTAGTCCTATGTAGCCCTCACTGACATGGAACTTGCTATGTAGACCAGGCCAGTATGAAACTTAAGAGAGATCTCCTATTTCTGCCTCCCAAGTGCTGTGACTAAAGGCATAAGCCGTCAAACCTGGCTATCTGGTATGACTTCAGAATAGTCTAGACTTGCCTGAGGTACTGTGATCTACTATTGCACCCAGAGAATCTGCTAGTTTAGGTTCTCTTTCATGTCTATTATTCTGTGCTTTAAAGTCTAGTTGAGGGTTGGAGATGTGCCTCGTTGGTAGACTGCCTAGCATACACAAATCTCTGGGTTTGAGCCCTTGTGCTTCACAAACAGGCTGTGGTGAAACACCGTTGTAATTCCAGTACCTGGGCAGTAAATGCTAGAAGTTAGAAGTGCAAGAAAGTCATCTTCAGCTACATAGTTTGTTCAACACCATACTGGGTTATATGAAACCCTATCCCCCAAAAAGGAAAGGAAAAGTAAAAAGGGCAAAGCAAGAGATAGAGTCTTTGTCTTATCAGTGTGGCCACAGAGCCTCCCTTGAAGAAATATAAATTAGCTGGCATATACCTTTAATCCCAGCACTCTAGAGGCATTGCCAGGTGGATTTGTATGAGTTCTAGGCTAGCCAGAGCAGCAAGGGATACCTTATCTCAAATAAGTGAGCAAGTATGTGTAAAGTATGAAATCTTTTTAGCTCCAGAATTTTTAACAACCCTGAACATGAATATGACTTGATTATTAAAAGATCAAATTAATACAAATTTTCTTTTTGTAGAGGCCGTGGTGTTGGACCACCTCGAGGGGCTTTGGTTCGTGGGACCCCAGTAAGAGGTTCCATTACCAGAGGTGCCACTGTGACTCGAGGAGTGCCACCCCCACCCACTGTGAGAGGTGCCCCAACACCAAGAGCTAGGACAGCAGGCATCCAGAGAATACCTTTACCTCCACCACCTGCACCAGAAACTTATGAAGACTATGTAAGAATGTTTTGAACAATATATCATTTCCTCCATACCTAGGTTGCCAGGGAAAGTTGAGTGTAGGTAGAAACAGTACCTGCATTCTTGTTACGTTGATTTTGAACTATGAGATGATTTTTCTTCTATTTTGCTTTCATTATTGCTGTCTCTATATAAGGTAAATGAGAAGTTGTGGTTTGACATACAGATTTTTACTAAGGGATTGTTGTTTGTAATGCTAAATTACATTTGATTTTTGTTTTGTCTTTTTTCACTCTTCTGCAGTGGATCTTAATATTTTTGAGAAAATTTTCATGGCCTGTTCATTCAGAAGCTCATGATCCCCCCCGCCCAATGGGTTGTAATTATCTTCTCTATTACATGTAATTCTGACCTAATTTATTTGTTACAGGGATATGATGATACATATGCAGAACAGAGTTATGAAGGATATGAAGGCTATTACAGCCAGAGCCAAGGGTGAGTCAATAGTATACTATATAGTGTCCTAGATAGATGGTGGGTGGAGTTGGAGGAACTAAAGATTTGGGCAAATACCGAGCTCTAGAGTAGTCTGACTTAACATTTTGAAGGTATTGTATTGCCTCTGCTTTTGACAACTTGAAGGCATATAGGTGGGCCTGCAAATTTGAATAACTGCATTTTATAATAGTTTAGGATTTGGGGCTAATGAAAAATTCCTGAGCTATGGCTATATAGAAGCATTGAGAAAATGCCATTAAATGATTCTTTTATTAAGAAATAATAATTTCGGGGCTGGAGAGATGGCTCAGCGGTTAAGAGCATTGCCTGCTCTTCCAAAGGTCCTGAGTTCAATTCCCAGCAACCACATGGTGGCTCACATCCGTCTGTAATGAGGTCTGGTGCCCTCTTCTGGCCTTCAGGCATACATGCAGAAAGAATATTGTACACATAGTAAATAAATAAATAAATAAATAAATAAATATTTTTTTTTAAAAGAAATAATAATTTCTTAATTATGGGAGGAAGTAGCTCAGTTGGTAGGTAGGCTGTGCCTGCCTTGCATGTGTGAAGTCCTTAGTTTGATTTCAGCATGGAACCATGAGTTCAAGAACAGCCTGGGATACAGGAGGCTTTGTCTCATTACAGACAAATCAACTCACCTCGCCCACATTGGAGATGCGTTTAGTCTTAAGAGCAAGCTAGAAACTTTTGTTTTTGTTTTTAATTCCTTTAAAACACAGCTTTCAGTGTATATATGTGTGTATATATATATATATATACATATATATACATATATACACATATGTATATATACGTACATACATACATGCATCCTGCTTGCCTCGGGCATCTATAATAGGCACAAAACAGGCCTTTTCTAATACTCTTCCGGTGAGCTATATGAATACATATATAATCATTATATTGCAAGAATCTGATTTAGAGTTTGGTTTTCTTCTTGCTATACTTAACCAGACTTTTTGGTAAATACATGGTTTATGCATGTTTTTTAAATATTGGGGTGGTTAGGGGTGGGACAGAACATATATTTCCCCCTATTTTATAGATTGTAAACTCACCAGGTATGGAATATTTGAAAGAATGCTAAAACCAAAGCTTTTAATGTTCTGTGTTTTTTGTTTGTTTGTTTGTTTTGTTTTTTTTTTTTTTTGGCTTTCCAGGGAGTCAGAATATTATGACTATGGACATGGGGAGGTTCAAGATTCTTATGAAGCTTATGGTATGTTTTTATTTCTGTGCTGGGGTAAAATGTACAAGTAAGTGTCTAGAAAAATACTGGCTGATGGGTTCTTGGAAGTCAGGCAGGCAGTCACACCTAAGGAACAGTAGAAGCTTGCCGCATTGGTAAATGGAACTTTAAAGAGTTCTTAAGTTTTATGGTGCTACGTGTCTTGGACTGAGCTCTATCTTAGCTGGATTGGTATACTTCTCAGGGGATGCTGGTTTCTGTTAGGTAGGACATGCCTAATCCAGAGCTGGTTTTGGACCTTTTGCTACTGAAACCGTGGTCATGTTCAGAGATAGAAGAACTTACTTGTCTAACTCTACTCTCTTGCCCCTCCCTCATCTAAAAAAAATGAATTTACTGAAAATACTAAGCGTAGAAGAAAATACCAGCTGAAAGCAGCTCGTTAAAGCAGATTAGAAGGCAAAGAAATACTGGTTAGAATCAAATTAGAGACTTCAGGGGAGCTAAGTCACATCAGTGGTAGCACCAAACTCCTTCCTAGTTGGAAGATGTCTTAAGTCAAATTTCTTCCTCTGCTGGGATTACAGCTTGTTCTACCATGTCTGGTTTTATGGGATATCTAGGGATGGAACTCAATACTTCTTATCTGCTAGACAAATACTCCTATCACCTGAGCTTCATCCCCAGACCTCAGCTCAGTTACTGATCGCATAAAGCAGTTCAGGCTGGGAAGGTAGCAAAACCCAAGCTGACTTCCCAGCTTGGTTGAAAACACATTGCTCAGTTGTGTCTTTAAGAGCTAATTATGGCTTTGTGCTAATGGGTCTCTGAGGAATATTTGTATGCAGTGAGAGCAGCCTTCATAAACAGAGGGCTTCTGCATCCCTGAAGAATTCTGAGGGGTTTTAGCTGCTAACTGTTCGAACTATCTTAAAGTACACTATAGAGCCAGGCGGTGGTGGCACACACCTTTAACCCCAGCACCCAGGAGGCAGAGACAGGTAGATCTCTGTGAGTTCAATGCCAGGTTGGTCTACAGAGGGAGTTCTACGGGAATCAGGGCAGAGAAAACATTCCGAAAAAAAATAAAACAGAACAAATCAACAACAAAAAAAGATACTCTACAGAGAGTTAGAAAAAGGAATCTAGTGGGTCCTCTCATAAGACACTAAGCTTAACCTATTGGCATGATATGACATAGCCAATTAGATCCTGATCCCCAAAAAACAATTTTTACCAGTTTTAGCTAATTTAGTGCTGCACTATTGCCATAGTAACATTGTAGCACTCCACTCCTGTGTCATTGTTTAGATGAATTGGTCATTGTGGCTCACTATTTCCCTCTATCAGTGAGGCAGTAAGGAGTTTCTGTATGTGTCTGGCAAAACTGTATTTCATTCTGCTGGAGAAAAGACTGAACTAAAGAGGCTGAAACCCAGCCTGTTGCCTCATAGCAGCTGGGAAGGAAGTAGAGAGAGGAAGATCAGAAACTCAAGATCATTGTCCCCGATATACCAAATTTGAAAGCAGTGTGACCTACATGAGATCCTGGTTCAAAGAAAGAGAGAGGTGCATACTGTATCCCAGGCACTTAAGATTAAGGCAGGAGAAGTGTGAGTTTGAAATCAGTTTAAGCTACATACTGACTTCAAATGTGTTCTAAGATGAGCTACATATTGAGATGGTGTCTCTATAAAAATAGACAGGCTATTACTCTTGTGTTCCTGGTATGCTGTTGCCATGATCAGTGTGTTCTGGTATGTGCCTTTCTAAAGAGAATTAGAAGCATAAACTTTTCTGTTTGTACCTAGGAGCATCTTGCAAATAGATGGGCCTTGCATATTGTACTAGGAGCATAGGTAGAATTCTATGTAATTTTTGATCCATACAGAAAAGTAAGACCTGTAGTAATGTACCTAGTATTTACATGTAGGCATGAATTGGTGAGGAAATTAGTGGGAAGAATAAGAGGTCATCTGTAGAAGTAAGTGATCATCTCAGGCTTCGCTGTCACACAAAAAACAATAAACAAAACCTTTTGAGATTGTTAGCGCTTGTCAGGGCTGTTGGCATGAGAAAAGAACTAAAAATTCTTAGCAGAGAATTATCCCCTAGTGTTTGAGTTCCATCATGGTAGAGGGTTTCATTTAATGTGGCCTTTTTTGCTTCTGTAGAACCAGAACCAGAGTACGTTTTTCCACAGTTAAACCTGTCTTGCTCTTGCATTGAAAGGAGCTACCTGCAAAGTGAAAAACATGGTCAGATGTTTTGCCATGTTAACTGAGGAATGAGTGCCATATGGGTTTGGGAACAGGAATGGTCATTGCAGACTCCCTGAAATTAATGACTTCTTTACTGCCTCAAACTGTGTTGCATTTATCCAGGTTTGAGACTGGGTATCATTCATGTTGCTGTTCAAGAGTAAAAGTTAGCATTTTCTGAATTACTCCTTTTTGTTTTCTACTCAAAATGGTAGGAAATTACCCATACTTACCAAGGAAGGCCAAGTAAAGAGGAGAGCAAGGAACACCAGGAATGTATCAAGATAATAGAAGACAAACAGTATTGTTGGTGATACATACCTGATGTTGACCTACCCTGGTTATGCCCCCCAAAAAATGGGCCCATGGTTTATAAACTGTTTTTGTTTTTCCACAGGACAAGATGACTGGAATGGGACCAGGCCATCACTGAAGGCCCCCCCAGCTAGGCCAGTGAAGGGATCATACAGAGAGCACCCATATGGACGTTATTAAAAACAAACAGGAGGGGAAAATATCAGTTATGAGCAAAGTTGTTACTGATTTCTTGTATCCCAGGATTCCTGTTGCTTTACCCACAACAGACAAGTAATTGTCTAAGTGTTTTTCTTCGTGGTCCCTTTCTTTTCCCCACCTTCCTCCATTCTTAACTCTGCATTCTGGCTTCTGTATGTAGTATTTTAAAATGAGTTAAAATAGATTTAGGATATTGAATTAATTTTTTTAAGTGTGTAGATGCTTTTTTCTTTGTTGTTTAAATATAAACAGTGTACCTTTTATAATAAAAAAAGAAGTTGAGTAAAAAAAAAACACAAACATGTTAGTTTCAAAAGTGACATTGCTTGCTTAAAGGTTCTGAAGTAAAGGCTTGTTAACTTTTTCTTAGTTTTGATTTGAGGCACCCCGTAAAGTCATAGTTGCAGAATCCCAAACTAGGCTACATTTCAAAATTCAGGGCTGCTTAAGATGTAAAATCACAATGTTAACGGCAGTAGGCACCACCATGTAAAAGTGAGCTCAGACGTCTCTAAAACATTTCCTTTAAAAGCACATGGCGGTTGAATCTTAAGGTTAAATTTTAATACGAAAGATCCTCATGAAATAAATAGTTGATGCAATTTTTAACGTTAATTGACTTAAAACAACAACAAAATTAGGTTTGTAAAACTGACTTTTTCTTTACGTGGGTTTTGAAATCTAGCCCCAGACATACAGTGTTGAGAGATACTTAGTGGGGGGAGGGGTAGATAGAGATTGACTAAGAATGATGGGGGAGAGGAGCTGGCCACCTAAATGGAATTTGATGGAGTACTTTTTAGCCGCAATCTTTTCAGTAATAGTACTGATAATCAAATTTTCAGTATTTAAGATGTCAGAGTATTTTGTCCATTTGAGAGTCTGCACTCCATGAAAAACTCACTTGGACACTGGGGCCAAAAGCTGATGATGTTCATTAAATTGACCGTTGTCAATTTTGAGCTGTTCCCAAGGTAGTCAAGTATGTCTCAACACTAGCATGATATAAAAAGGGACACTGCAGCTGAATGAAAAAGGAATCAAAATCCACTTTGTACATAAGTTAAAGTCCTAATGGATTTGTACCGTCCTCCCATTTTGTTCTCGGAAGATTAAATGATACATGTGTTAAGTCTGCCTAAATAGGTAGCTTAAACTTATGTCAAAATGTCTGCAGCAGTTTGTCAATAAAGTTTAGTCCTTTTTTAATCAAAGTAAATGTGATGAATTGTCATTTTTGGGGGTGGACAATAAAATAGTTTTCTCTTTCACATAAACTTAAATTAACTCTAAAGTTAATGGGCTTGTTAAAAGTTGGAGACATTCTTAAAAGTGGTGGTGGGGATTTTGTTTTTTAAGTTTACCAAAAAAAAGTTTATGAGTTGTTAAGTTTTAGTTTAAAAAGAACCAAAGCTTTTTCACCCCCTGGAAGTTGTTGAAAGCAGTTTTATCCAATCCTGTCACAAAATTAATTTTTAGAAAAACCCAACTGACTAAATCACAGATTGGTTTTCATGTAAAGGTATAATAGGTACTTTAAGTGCCAGCCACCCTAGCGTGCACCTTCTGTAGAACCCTTAGGTGGCCTTAAAAAATGAGACCAAATCTCTGGGCGCAGATATTGATTTCACTTGCATTCAGATACCACAATTCAGTAAAACCTGGGTGCCCTTGAGGGTTTCCCTTCCAATTCTAGAGATGCTGTTAACAATTCAGCTGGCTCGGGGCAGGAGCTGGTAGGGTAGGTTGGTCCTAAACTCCTTCCCACAAGACTGCATGTAAGAAAATGGAATTGGTTGGCTCTGTTTCACTCTTAATTCCCAGGAACCTCATTCCTTCCCTAGGAGCCACATAAACTGCTCGGGGGTGAAAAATCCTGTGTCAAGTGCCAAGCTGCCTGTAGCAGTGCATGATGGGCATTTTTGTTTCTTTAAAACACACCAACAAAAAATGTATTTATAGATTGTGATAAAGTGTAAATAACTGAATTTTCAACCATGGTTTGAAGTCAGCTTTCAGGGCATTATGTCTTGTTTTGATGAAAAGAGATCACTCTATACCCCCCTTTTTAAAGGAAAATTATCGCAAGAGAATCAGGATGTGTAAAGCTAACATGCATCGCAAAAAACCAAAGGTAACCTAAATGTCTGATTTTAATAGCACATATTTCTCTTTTATATAAACTGTGACAGCAACTTGCATAAACAATTCTTTAGTTGTTAATTTTAATGTTAAAACTTTGCAAAAATTGTTTAAAAATAGCTGTAAAAAGAAAAACCATATGCTGCCACATAAATTCTCCATAACTCTTAATAATCCTGCCCATCACAAGTGAACTGTAATGTAACCTGGGCACAAATTCTGACATCTTAAATGACACAGTGTAAAATTTCAATGACTGTAGATGAGAAGACCTGCTGCACCCCAGAGTAAAGCTTTCTGCTCAGCTGTTTTAAAATATATAAGGATGAGCCCCCTAAGACACCATATCTATTTACAGTGCAATGTTATTTGAATTTTCTGAAAAGTTGCATGTTTCTTTCCTGTAATGTGTAAACTGCATGCAGGATCTCTCTCTGATTTTGTATGTCTTTACAGCTTCTAAAGACTCATCCCTGATTTCTCAATTTTCAGGTGACTGAAAATTCCTGAGGCTTTTCCTGGAATAGAATGGGTATCGAAGACCCATGTCAGGTATGTTAAGGTGGTTTTCGTTGAGGATGGTAGATGTGTCGTGATGGCAAAGCAGTAGTGCTAGGAGGTTAACAGGTCGGTCTTTCCTAAACTCGCTTCTACCATGCTAATCACACTTCTGTGTCAGCTTTCCGAACTTAATGGGTATGTGTAATAGTTAAGACCAGCCTGTGTCCAGGCGGTGGTGCACACCTTTAATCCCAGCCTTCTGGAGGCAGAGGCAGGCGGATCTCTGAGTTTGAGGCCAGCCTGGTCTACAGAACCACCCGAGTGTGGGGATCAAAGGCATGCACCACCATGCCCGGCATTTGTATAACTAAGTCCTTGTATCAATCAACTCCACATACAAAAAAAGAAACTAAAATTTGTGGCAACCTATTCAGTGTTACACATAATAAATATTAGTGTCCTTTTCTTTAGAATCCTTTTTAATTCTGCTTTAACTCTGATTGGCAGAGTTGAGGACTTTTCCTGTTGCTTGAAGTCATTGAGGCGCTAGCTACCATAGTTTTCCCTTTGCTTCTGAATCATTTCTTAGAGTGTCATTGAGAAGAAAGCTTCTAGCTAGGCAAACCAAAGGTATGTCTGGATCCTTGAGAGTGAAGCTTGGCTTCTTGGCGCTGTTTCTTCCAAACTGTATCTCCGTGCTGGTATTTTCTGATATCTGGATACTTACGAAGGGCAACAAATACAAAATGTTGTTCTGAACACCCTGAAGTTTGAAGTTCATCATGTGACTGGCCTGAAATTTAGATGAGGAATCCCTAATTCAAAGAGTTCAAGGGCTAGAGGGGTGACTCAGAAAGGGTCTGGTTCTTGTTCCCATGGTCGTTCACAGCCATCTGAAACTCCACTTCGAAGGAATCTGAGTCTCTCTTTACCACCATGGGCACCAGAAGCACGAGCAGTGCATATATACATGTAGCCAAAATGTGTATAAAATTTAAAAATTTTAAGACTTTACTCTCTAGGGTAGTCGTCTGACCCCCACAGGCACTAGGCATATCCATGGTATACATGTGTATATGTAGGTAAATCACTCAAACACAGTAAAATCTTTTTTAAAAATATGTACTAAAAGCTACTTAGGACGCAGTGGTAAACCTTGTTTACCTAGTGAGTTCCAGGACAGACAGGGTTACACAGAGAAATCCTGTCTCAACAAAACAAAGTTGTGTGTGTGTGTGTATTAAAGTATGAGTTGGTTACGATTGGTTGGGTTATTTTAGTGTCACTGAGTACATCTACATATACATCTACATAACACAGCTGTGAGGTGCTAGGTAGGTGATTGTAATGTCCTGTGAACTACACTGCATTCTACTAAGAACGCTGTTGTAGCTCTCCTGAAGTTCAAAAGCTAAACACAAACACGCCCGTTTACCGTTTACATACCTGATGACCAGTAATACTAAGAACACACCTTTTCTAGTATAAACATGCAACAATTATCCAAAGAGAGTTTATTCAGGTTTGCGCTCTGTCCCTCAGTTGCTACCCACTGCTCCAGGTAAGAATGAATTTAAGGATGCCCCATTAACCCATTGTGGTTGCCAACAATAAAGTCAAGTCAGACTATTTTCTGATTCAAAAAGAGCAGCAGCAGCCTGATAAAATTCAGCTTTCTTACAGAAATGGAGAATGTATCTTAGCCAAGCAAGTGGGTTTGATGGGAGATAGATGTGGTATTAAATGTTTGGCTTACAGGTTTTGAAGCTCTGTGGTCCACAAGTTTGGTCCAAAGAACACTTGTGGATAAGTGTGCATACAGTGGGAATGTGCTTCTTCACTTGGGTTGCATAAACTTCCTGAGCAGATGTGAACAAATGTCTACCCAGACAGGGCACCGGTGACGGTAATGGTTCTACCAAAGCCAACTTGCAAAACACCTCGTTTACAGCATATGTTTAAAGAGTTACTTACAGTAGTGGTTGACCCCAAATTGTCCTCATTACCAAAGCTGAACCCATAGATAACGGCTTTCTCAAAGCTGCATAAGATTCTCCTTTTCATACTCTTTAAATTGGTATATTGGTATATCTGGGAAAGAATTACAGCTGGCAGGAATGCACTGGAAGGAATGACTGAGGTCTCAGGTGTGCATCTCCTGACCTCCCACCCCCTCCTCCTTTTAGGATAACTGTTAATAAGTCTGAAGTTAGGGTGCTCACAAGTGTTTGCAGTTGCTTCTGATTATGATGGTGATAGCGGGTAGACTTCCAGAACACCTTGATGTTATCATGTACTCCGTGTGCACACCCACACTTTGTATTTGAACTGGGGTATAGTCAGCAGTTGAGTGCCCTAGATTTGACTCCTGGTACCATCAGTAGGAATTAGAGCTGGGCATGATGGCACACACACTTGGGAGGCTGCGTCAGAAGAATCACAAATTCCAGGCCAGCCTGAATTATTAAGGAAAGGTGAATGTCAAGATGGGTAGATGCAGCCAAACCTGCTGAGTAATTTAATCCCCAGGACCCACATGGTAGTAGAGAACAAACTCTTGCAAGTTGTCCTTTAACCTCCATATGTGTGATGTCTGTAAGCATCCACATAACACAATAACTAGTTAGGTGTAATATTTTTCTGAGTTAGAAGGGGAAAGTGAAAACAGCAGAGTGAGTGAGTGTGGCTAAGGGAGAAGATAACTTCTGTTGTAGTAGCTCTCTAGAAGTTCTATATTTTTTTTTTTCCTGGAGACAGGGTTTCTGTGTGTTCCCTGGCTTGTCTTAGAACTCAGTGTGTAGACCAGGTTGGTTTTGAATTCACAGAGATCTTCCTGCCTCTGCCTCCAGAGTGCTGGGGTTAAAGACGTGCTCTGGAAAATTCAAATTTAAATGCAGGTGGTTCTTTGAGACCAGCCTGGGCTTCAGAGCCAGGGCCAGGACAGCCAAAAAACTCAAAACTGCAAACAGCCAAGCAGAGGTGGCACATACCTTTAATATCACCGCTTGGGAGGCAAAGGCAGGTGAGTCCAAGGTCAGCCAGGGCTACACAGAGAAACTCTGTCTGGTGGGGCAAAGGGAGGGCTGCAAAGAAGCAACTGCTTTGTAAGTGACAGAATCGTCCCTTTACGTGATATGTAACATTTCTGAAGTCAGGCCTTGGTCACCACTATCTGCCCTGGTTTTTCCAGTGAAGCAGACACCGTCTCACTAATGTATGTCTATGGAGGTTTTAGGACAACTTGGTAGAGTTGGCTCTTTCTCCTACCTATACATGGGTTCATGGGATTGAACTCAAGTCACCAGCCTTGCACTGCAGACACCTTTACCCACTGAGCCATCTCACTGGCTCCCTAATTTCTTTAGGACTGAGTATTTAGAGCCACACCTGTTTGGCAGTTATGCTAGAAAGGTAGGGAGAAGGAGAAGCCTTAAAGTGCTACCACGTTAGTCTGGCAATGGTGCCGCAGGCCTTTAATTCCAGCACTCGGGAGGCAGAGGCAGGTGGATCTCTGTGAGTTTGAGGTCAGCCTGGTCTACAAGAGCTAGTTTCAGGACAGGCTTCAAAGCTA